TTCCCAGTAAAGTCAGCGAATATTTCTTTAAAAAAAAAACCACCCTTATTGATTTAGTCCCCTCTTTCCGCCCACAAGAAGGGCACAATTAGAGAACGGCTATCGTTATTGCGAATCCTTGAGTAAGAGCTTTTTCGTCCCTTGTCAGAGCCAAAATTATCCAAGAATCAAAGTAAAATTTACCACCGAACCCACCCGATTAATTTCGCGATTTTATGCGTCAGACCCTTCGATTTCATTTCGGTTGCTGATATTCAACTTTAATAAGAAGATCTACTAAACATTAAATGAAGTTAACTCAACATAGATATCAATGATCAGTACCAGTCAAATTAGTGGCACAAGATATACTGATATTCATAGCGTCAATTTGAATTTTAGCTGTTTGCGTCGATCCTGGGAAGCCTGTTAATGGCAGCAGAATAGGGGATACCTTCCTTGATGGTCAGGCTGTGGCATTCAGTTGCAGACCAAGTCACACACTGATTGGCGCGCCAATTTTACGGTGTATAGCTGGAAAATGGAATAAGCCTACACCGAAGTGTAAAGGTAGGTCTTATAAGAGGCGTTTAGCGACATAAAGATGATTTTGTTCTTCAACTGACGTTCATTTGTTTTTTCCTTGATATCTAGGTATTCAATATTATATGTGCGGGTCGAATATGTCTGATAAAAAGAATGATACGACGGTGTGCCCTTACTTTGATAGGCACAAGTCGACTAGTTAACCAAAAGTCACTTCGCTTTTTCAAAATTTTGCCATGCTATATCATCGTCAAAAATTCTTTGAAAAATAGCTTTTGAAATCAGGAAATGATAGACAGGGCGTCGCTTTACATCAATTTAGTTCCATTGGACACTTACTTGTGAAATGTGATTGGAAGCATACCTGGGCTCGAATATCTGAGATATCAGATGATATCATGTGTTATTGTAAAATCCTTCTACTCATCATTCAGTCTAGTAGTCCAGTCGAGTCGATTCACTTTGAATACATTTTTGTTTTTGTTTGTTCATCTCAAGCCTCGTGTCCAGACCCTGTTGCTCCTATAAATGGCCGAGCTATTGATTTCAAGCCTTGTTACCATCACGGAGAACAAGCGAAGTTTTCGTGCGATTCAGGGTTCAAATTAATTGGGTCATCAAACATAAGGTGTCTAGATGGAAAGTGGAGCTCAACAACTCCTTTGTGTAAAGGCATAGTTCGGTTACATCCTTTTAATCGACTAAAATTTAATCATTGTCAAGAGGAGCACACATACTTAAATCAGAACAGAATAAATTCCTTTCACGAAAACTTTTTGTTACTTCACAAGTTTGGTATTCGGATGTTTCTAGATCAGAAGTAGTGTTTTCTAATTGAAACGCTGACTTTTAAATTGGAGCGTTTTGCTCTCTTGGGCCGGGTAGTTCAAATCTAAGTTATGATAACCCGCTGTTCACCCAGAATCAAATCTGATTTCAGATTTACGAGCTTTTTTAATTGACAACTCAGTACAATTTTTTTTGTCTACAATTTGGTGATTGGATGCCCTAAAAAGTATTTAGATCTAATTATATGCAAAAAGGCTTATGAACAAAAGAATAAAGAAATCTGGATTGAAATTCAAGCCTAAGTTAGCGCTAATCGTTCCTCGAACTACTGGGCCCCGGGTTTTCCTTAATGTCTGAAAATTTAATGGTCGCTTGAACGTTTTTGAACACGAAGTTTGTAAACAACATCTCTAAGGATAGTTTTGGGCGGCAGTGTTTTCAAACCTCATTGTATTACCTACTTTTAAAAATGTTTGCTTTTTGTGCAACAGCTAGAGATGATCCTCCGTCTCTAACATGGGCAATGACACTTTGTACAGCACAATTACCAGTAGGTAATACATGCCATTCTGAGGATTGGTTGTTTGAAATTCAAGTCCGTGGCAGGCACTACACTTATTGGTTGACATGTCCGTTCAATAAAATTAGAAACGACATAACTTGTAAAGATATTAGGGTGGAAAACTGGGATCACCAATTCAACAGAGAAAGTTCGCTTTTACAACTATTGCTTAAAAGGAGAAGTACGATTCTCCTGTAAGGGAAGGTTCAAGTTTCCATTACTTTTAGAACCTTTTAGCATTTATCCAAGGTACCGAGACGTTCCTAATTTTAACTTCCCTGTAAGGCGCATGTACCTTTCTCCGTGAGAAAGTTCGCTGTAACTACTATTGTTCAAAAGGCGAAGTATGATTCTCCTGTAAGGCAAAGTTCTAGTTTCCATTACTTTTAGAGCCTTATAGTAGTTATCAGAGAGATAAAAGATTATGTTATCGTCTTTTTTCTATTCCGTGTGTTTAAGCAGTCTTTCAAACTTCTATCTGGAAGGGGGGTAACTAATTGTCCAACGCTGTAGTTTTGGGATATTCGATAATGCTAAGCATACAATCAGTTAACTATTCCTCACCAATAAAAATACTGTTGACGAGGCTGACTTTAAAGTAACTGGCTTTTCATTTTCTCTATTTCTCCTGTATGTCTCAAGCGTCATGCAAGGATCCAGGCACTCCTAAAAATGGTGTCAGACATGGCACCGAGTTTACTCACAACAAGCGAATATCCTTCGCATGTCTTGCGGGATTTCAGCTGACAGGCACTGCAAACGTAGTGTGTATTAATGGAAAGTGGAGTGCATCCACGCCTCAATGCAAAGGTGAATAGTTACGAACTTAATTTATCCCTTAACGTTTGCAGCTATGGAATAAACCGTGATAAAAAGACTGCCGCTTTCTGTGCATGTTGTGTTATCCTCGAGATGAATGCAATATAATGTATCGTATCCAATCAAGACTTTTCACAGTAAAGTCAACGAATATTTCTTAAAAAAGAAAACACCCTTATCGATTTAGTCCCCTCTTTCTGCCCACAAAAAGGGCACAATTAGAGAACGGCTATCGTTATTGCGAATCTTTGAGTAAGACCTTTTTCGTACCCTTCTCTGAGCCAAAATTATCCAAGAATCAAATTAGAATTTACCACCGAACCTGCCCGATTAATTTCTCGATTGTATGCGTCAGACCCTTCGATTTCCTTTCGGTTGCTGATATCCAACTTTAATACTAAGTTCTACTAAACATCAAATCAAATTAACTCAACACAGATTAGAAATCAATGATCAGTAGTAGTCAAATTATTGGTACAAGATATACTGATATTCATGGCGTCAATTTGAATTTTAGCTGTTTGCGTCGATCCTGGGAAGCCTGTTAATGGCAGCAGAATAGGGGATACCTTCCTTGATGGTCAGGCTGTGGCATTCAGTTGCAGACCGAGTCACACACTGATTGGCGCGCCAATTTTACGGTGCGTAGCTGGAAAATGGAATAAGCCTACACCTAAATGTAAAGGTAGGTCTTACAAGAGGCGTTTAGCATTATGAAGATGATTTTGTTCTTCAACTGACGTTCATTTGTTTTTTCCTTGATATCTAGGTATTCAGTATGACAAATGCGGGTCTAATATGTTGCCCTTACTTTGATAGGCACAAGTCGACTAGTTAACCAATAGTCACTTGGCTTTTTCAAAATCTTACCACGCTATATCACCGTCAAAAATTCTTTGAAAAATAGCTTTTGAAATCAGGAAATGATAGACAGGACCTCGCTTTACATTTATTTAGTTCCATTGGACACTTATTTGTGAAATCTGGTTGGAAGCATACCTGGGTTCGAATATCTGATATATCAGATGATATCATGTGTTATTGTACAATCCTTCTACTCATCATTAGGTCTAATAGTCCATTCGAGTCGTTTCACTTTGAATTTTTTGTATGTTCATCTCAAGCTTCGTGTCCAGACCTTGTTGCCCCTATAAATGGCCGAGCTATTGATTTCAAGCCTGGTTACCGTCACGGAGAACAAGCGAAGTTTTCGTGCGATTCAGGGTTTAAATTAATTGGGTCATCAAACATCAGGTGTCTCGATGGAAAGTGGAGCTCAACAACTCCTTTTTGTAAAGGTATGATTCGGTTATATCCTTTTAATCGACTGAAATATTAATTTAATAAATGTCAAGAGGAGCACACGTACTTAATCAGAATAGAAGAAACTATTTTCGGGAAAACTTTTTGCGACTTCACAAGTTTGGTATTAGGATGTTTTTAGATCAGAAGTAGTGTTTCCCAACTGAAACTCTGACTTTTAAATTGGAGCGTTTTGCTCTCTTGGGCCGGGTTGTTCAAATCTAAGTTATGATAACCCGCTGTTCACCCAAAGTCAAATCTGATTTCAGATTTAAGAGCTTTTTAAATGAGAACTCAGTACAATTTTTTTTGTCTACAATTTGGTGATTGGATGCCCTAAAAAGTATAATAATATTAATTATATGCAAAAAGGCTAATTATATGCAAAAAGGCTCATGAACAAAGAAATAAAGAAATCCGGATTGAAATTTAAGCCTATGTTGGCGCTAATCTTTCCTCGAACTACTGGGCCCCGAGTTTTCGTTGATTTCTGAAAATTTAATAGTCGCTTGAACGTTTTTGAACACGAAGTTTTTAAACAAGGTCTCTAAGGATAGTTTTGGGCGGCAGTGTTTTCAAACCTCATTGTATTACCTACTTTTAAAAATGTCTGCTTTTTGTGCAACAGCTAGAGATGATCCTCTATCTTTAACATGGGTAATGACTCTTCGTTAAACACAATTACCAGGCCGTAATGAGTGCTATCCTTAGGATTGGCTGTTTGACATTCAAGTCCGTGGCATGCACTACACTTATTGATTAACATGTCCGTTCGATAAAATTAAAAACGACATAAGTTGTAAAGGTATTAGAGTGGAAAATTGGGATCACCAATTCAACAGCGTAATCTGCTTCAAAGTGTGGTGCCCATAGAGGCCCTCACATGCGAAGTGACCTGTTGCGGGAATAATTTTATGAAACACTGAAGTACCTTGCGTGCCACTTATTTGAAATCAACTCGAAAACTTAAACTCCTATCTTGTCCTTTTATGTTCGTATTATCCTCACATTGCAACGTTTATGTAAGGCAGGTGAGCGAGAGCTTACCAACAGGTCTCTTCCATTATAGCTTTAGATTAAACTAGGTCTCTTTTTTATTATTTATTTCCTAAGAAGGCTGAATTTACAGCCTTTTTTTTTTTAATTTTCATGTTGCCATTTTTTTCTCTGTTTTTCAAAAATAACCGCCAAAAAAAGCTACTTGTAAAGATCCTGGAGTCCCATTGAATGGAAAAAGGAAAGGAAGCACATTCATCGACGGTGACACAGTGGAGTTTCTTTGCGACGAAAACTTCAGCCTCGTTGGTTCATCGATCAGTCGTTGTTTGGGTGGAAGGTGGAGCTCGGCTTTTCCAGAATGTAAAGGTTTGAAAATGCGAGATTCTCTCTTTATCTCATACCTCAAGTTGGATTTATCAGACAACAGAAATACGCTCAAGGCCAGGATTCCACCATCTTTTCATATTTAGAAGAAAGTTTGACAATGTCAATTTTCGTTCACTTTGTTGAGAGCTTTAAAAAAAGTTACTGAATCCGGCTTTAATTAGCATTCTTCCACCAATGAGAAACAAAGGGTACCAGAAACAATCTGGGAACGTAATGAAAATGCTGGGGAGGGTAAACGAAACCTGCGTGCGCTTACGATAACTCTCCCCCCTCCCCCCCTCATGCCTCGAAGTTTCCTAATTCTAAGGAAAGTTGAGATAAATTCAGGTAGATATGAAAGACAATATTGCATGCAGACTTTGTTGTTAACTTGAAATGTTTTTCGTGAGCGTCAGCCACTTGCCTTTTTTTTCTAAGCGTTGAAAAGGTTTGCTTTCTGTTACTCTATCTGAACTTTTAAGTAAATGGTTAAAAATAACTGCGTTTCCAAGTTTTATACTGTGTTTTTATGTGCTCATAAGATGGCAACCGCTTGTTTTGCTTTGTACACAGCTTCTTGCCCAGACCCTGGAATACCCGTGAATGGTGAAAGGGTTAACGGGAGTTTTGCACATGGCAAGCACTTGCAGTTCAGGTGTAAACCAGGATTTTGGTTGGTGGGAAGTCAGCTAATCGTTTGTAGAGAAGGTACATGGAGCAACGAAATTCCCACGTGTAGAGGTATGAAAATTTATCCGTCCTTCGTAATTGAAGCTAGGATAACATCATATCACAGATAAAGGTCCTCTAAGGCTTTGACGCAGAAGTGACCAAAAGATAACTTATCCTGGCAATATGAAGAGGTTATCTAAGAAATGACGATGAAAATAGACGGAAGTGTTGACCAGTGAGCCAAACTCGCAACTTAACTGGTAAATAAATGTGTCGCAGCTACAAGGCAGAACCACTACATAGATCTTTAGAATCTTGATAAAAATGCCATCACTGTCTGGCGGGCGTGATAATAACATGGTTTTTGCAACCAGTAGGTGATAGTATACGATAGTTTCATCCTCATATACTAGAGAAAAGCAGAGCAGAAATTTTATTTCTGCTCTGCTTTTCTCTTTATGAAGATAGCGAGACTTAGGCTAACAGCAATCTACGCCATAAAATCTTGCAACCGAATTTCATTTTACACGGAACTACAACACAATGGCGAAGAGTGGGGGATTGTGATCAAATTATCGTTTTCGCCGTTTAACTTTATACGGAAACGATATCAACTTTCTTCCCTAGAGAGATTGATTTTAAAAAAATACGCCGTTTAAGTGAAGAGGAAGAGCGTTTTCCAGCGTTTTAGAGTGTGTGTGTTCTAAGACGTTTTGCCGTAAATGTCAATTGCAGCATCCTGTCCTGATCCTGGTATACCGAGACATGGCAGAAGAATCGGTTCTAATTTTGGTCACGGTGGCCAGGTGACATTCGGGTGTTTAAAGGATTTCACCCGGCTGGGAAGTCAGTCTATGACGTGTCACGACGGGAAATGGAGCTCTGTTGTCCCTGTCTGCAAAGGTAAACGATGAAAATAAACTTTATCCCTATTTCTGAGTTTTTTGAGTTTCACGCATAAAATCGATCCGCATTTTTGCGATGGCGTCACGAACGTGCTCTCGTAGTTTTCTGAGTTTCACGCACAAAATCGATCTAAGACTTTTTGCCGTAAATGTCAATTGCAGCATCCTGTCTTGATCCTGGTATACCGAGACATGGCAGAAGAATCGGTTCTAATTTTGGTCACGGTGGCCAGGTGACATTCGTGTGTTTAAAGGATTTCACCCGGCTGGGAAGTCAGTCTATGACGTGTCACGACGG